AAGATCTTCGCTCGTTGAAAAGAACTAAGAAGGCTGCTCTCAGAAGATTTACTAAACTCCGCACACTGCCGCTGAAATGCTACTATGTCAGACTCAACCACGAGTATAAGCGGTTAAATCGTCTCTGTTTTCAACGCTACACGCAAACCAAAAAAAATATTACGATTAATTTTAGTTTCATTTCCTATCATCCTCTGTTCATGAACATCGCAGCGAATGTTAGAAGTTGACCTTGCAGACGATGTAATGAATTTTAATCTTTTTTTTATTCCGTGTTCTGTATATGCTTTCACCTACACACGCAAGCATTTACCTTGATTGTTATGTATAACATGGTAGAACGACGCACACACTTGCCTCGATTCTCTCCAGCAGAAAAGCAAACAAAGTCGAGTATGCGAGGAAATGAGCCCTCTTGTTTGCTTTAAGCCTATCCATATCCCGAAGCATGAAAAGAGCAGTGGAGAAAGCACAGGTCTGATAATCGCAACGTTAGTGGTTCGAGTTCCCCCAGTCGCCACTTTTTTGACATGATTAATTTCACTCACTAATACACTTCACATTTTTTTCTCCATTTTCTTGCATTGGGCTGCAGCTCGGTATATTGTATCCTCGGTTCATGCGGTCTCCACTTACATCTTCTGATGATGAATCCCACATAATTGTAAGCAAACCTTACATCCCCCGGTTGGGTGTATCAAAGGAGGATTCAACGGCGGCTGAAATCACACCCGAAATCCTTCTGGAACTTCGTAAATGAGCAACGCAGGGAAGTCGGCTTACCCTCTTCCATGATTTTTAATGGTGAAACTGCTGGCAATCAACAAGACATTTGCAACCTGTTCTCAGCCAAATTTGCTAGTGTGTTTGAAGACGAGCAACTTTCCGCTAATCTCATTACTTCCGCGACCATTAATGTTCCTTTGGTCAACCAAACGCTCATCTAAACCTAAGACTTCAGCTAAGGCTGGACCCAATGGTGTTCCGTCGATTATTCTTAAAAAGAACATCACTTATCTTTTAGATCCACTGCGCCGCACAACGTCTTACATCACAGACAGTTTGATTGCTCGGACCCAAACGGACGTTATCTACACAGATCTTACGGCAGCCTTCGATAAGCTGAACCACGAAATTGCGATCGCTAAGCTTGATAGGCTAGGGATCGGTGGAAATTTTTTGAGAGGGTTTCGTTCATACCTCACGAAGCGCCAATTGACAGTAGCTTTGGGTACTTGTCGCTCAGCAAGCTTCTGCGCAAAGTCCGGTATACCTCAGGGTAGCCATCTAGGATCATTGGTATTTCTCCTTTACTTCGACGACGTTCGCCATGTTATCACAGGGCCACGATTATCGTTTGCAGATCAGATTGACATCTTTGCTGACTGGTGTAGTCTAAACCGACTGGTGGTCAACCCAGCTAAGTGTACAGTTATTACTTTCTCACGCAAGAAACAACCGATTATTTTCAACTACAAACTACTAGGCACGACTATCGAACGGGTGCATTGCGTGAAAGACTTGGGCGTTTTTCTAGACTCAAAGCTGACATACTCGCACCATATATCGTATGTCATCGACAAAGCGTCCAGAACTCTTGACTTTGTCTTCAAGATTACTAAGAACTTCACAGACATTTACTGCTTGAAATATCTCTATTGCTCTCTCGTACGATCTACGTTGGAATACTGCTCTGCAGTCTGGAGTCCGAACTACAATAATGGAGCCGAGCGAATTGAATCTGTGCAACGACGTTTTCTTCGCTTCGCGCTCCGTAATCTGCCTTGGAGATACCCACTTCGTCTTCCAAGCTACGAGAATCGCTGCCAATTGATCAATGTCGAGCCCTTACGTATCCGAAAAGATGTTTTCAGAGCCTTAACCGTCGCCGATACTCTGCAAGGAAGAATCGACTGCGAAGCAATTCTACAACAAGTGAACATTAATGTTCAACCTCGATCACTACGCAACAGTCTTATGCTGAGACTTCCACTTCTTCGAACTAGTTATAGCTTAGGGAGCGCTATTTACGGCTTGCAGCAAGTGTTCAATCGAGTAGCGTCGATGTTCGATTTCCACTTGACACGGAATATGCTTCCCCGAAGATTCTCTGCCTTTTTTGCTGCCCAACAGCTATGTGTAAAATTTAGGACTTATAAATTTTTAGTAACTTGACAATGCTTTCCTAGTTATTTTCGTTTGTAACTGTAGTAACTGTCGTATATGTAGTAGACTGATGCAAAATTTGACTTTTTCGCTCCACAGTGCTTAAATGGTTTCAAATCGGGTCGTGATTAGCCTCGTAAAGTTACAACTCATTTGGTTAGAAACAGACTTCGCACAAGCCATTTGAAGTTTACATGTAAATTACTATGGGAAATCTCAACTTTTTGTTCATTGCCTTCTAGTGTTTTTCCATATTGAGCTGCGAAATAGCTCAACAACCATTCTTATAGAAAATTTTCTCAGCTACAACTTTGCTGAAGATCGTTTCTATGTAAAACGAGACAGGAAAAAGTTATTAATTATTTAAGAGATTGGTAAACTTATGACATGATCAAGTAGCTGCTCTGTAGGCAACACTGTATTTTGCAGTGTGACATAGTAGTCATGATTTTTGTGTCCTATTCAACACCCCTGAAACACCAATGTTGCCTGCTGAGTAGTTGATTGAGCATAATCATAAGACATCAGCGCATTGAACCATTGATAACTTTCGATCCTTGCATTTAATCAAAAAGTGGCCTTGAGTAAAGTTGTAGCTGGGAAAAATTCCTACAAGTACAGTTGAAAGTTTTTGAAGCAGACCAATATGGTGAATTATTAGATAGACATGAACAAAAATCTTGGTTTTACCATAGTAATTCCCATACAAACTTCAAATGGTTTGTGCCATCTCAGTTTCTCACCAAATGGGTTCAAATTTTGAGAGGTTAGTCAGGATCCGGTTTGGAATAGTTTAAGTATTGTGGAGCGAAAATTTCAAATTTTGCATCACTCTAATATGTAGTCTGTATAATCTGTAATTTTTTTTTACAACACATCATTGGGGCTATTTCTAGTCTGTTGATGCGAACATAACAAATAAACAAATAAATAAACAAATGTTTGCCTTTGCCTTGGCTGGATTAGACTGGATTTATAGGGTATATATAGGAGGATTCAAACACTACGTTTTTTTCTGTCCACGTGGTCTATGAATTGCCCCTCAGTATTCTATGTGAATCCTCCTTTGAATATTTTTAAAATTTTATTCCCAAGGAATTCTCCTCAGAATTTATTTTAAATCAGCCTCCAACATGCTTATAAATGTTCATCAAAAGCATATTGATACCGACGTCCCTCAGGATTTGACTTGCTGTATAATGTTGTCTCCAGTTTTTTGATTAACTCAGAATTCATAAATCATAAGAAGAAAGAAGTGTTAGTTTGTTTACTAAAAAGAACTAAAACGATTGTATACGGCAAGTTTTGCTATAATCAACACTCCTTGTGTTTATTCGCGGAATTCACATCACTTGCGTAGGATATCAATTTGGCAAGGCATTTGTGACCAGCATCCACACAGGTCCAAATCTGTACAAATCCGCCCGTAAACTTTTTTGTCGTTTTCACTGTTTATGGCGAAATAGTGAACTTTTCATGAACATTAACGAAAAATATCTTACCAACAGTAGCGGACCGTGAGTTCCAGCAAACCTGTTATTATCCACCTTGGCCCGAGATGGGGCAGTATAGGTGGTACAGGGTACAGTACTCACGGTCAAAAAGTTTTTTTGAGTTTTTTGCCCTTAATGTTCAAGAAAAGTTCACTATTTTGCCATAAAAAATGCCAATTTGAATTTGGACAGGTTTGGACTTCTTTCATACGACGGGAAGGTACATGCTGGTCACAAATGCTTTACCAAATTGATTTCCAACTTCCCTGGGTGTAGAGCATGATTGCACTTGTCACATAATGCAAAGCTCTCAATTAACAACTGTGGAAGTGGTCAAAGAACGCTAAGTTGAAAGTCGGTGTAAAGTCCCAGTGGGGACCAAAAAAGAAGATCGATTTATGCTGGATAGATGTAAACCCTCAGCAACATCTTTCTGACTAAAAGCAAACGCATGAAATTTTCCATCTAATTTCATCAGAAATCCTTCAAAATTCCTCCGGTCGTTAAACAGTCTGCGTCATTGACAGCACTTTTCCGCTTACGCTGCAAACCCCATCCCGAAATCCATGCAATATCATCACACATCTACACAGTAAGTATGAACACCACAAATCGCGCCCCATTTCACCCAACAAAGAAACAGCAAATAGCACTTCCTCAAACAAACATACAAAGCCACAGTCGTCGTCGCGTTCCAATCGACGACCGACGCTGCACTGCTGCCGATGCAGCTGCCCCCACTCGCCGATACCGCCGACGATGCCTGTTTGCTGTTGATAGCTTAGTAGAACAGCTCAACAAGACAAGCAAAAAAAAACGGCGTCATCAGCAATAAAAGCACAAATTTCTCACGACCTCGGGTACTTATCAACAACTGTATGTACAGGCGTATAGACTGTAAAAACAAAATAAACAAACAATAACAGCAACAGAGTCATTCACGCCGTTCAGCGCCGTCGTCCGTCAACCCACCGCCATGTGTGTGCGATTTCTGCCGTTCTCCCGTTGTCGTCATTGCAATTTGCGAGCGGATCTTTCCACGATGACCGTGCCCCAGACTTCAACGAATACAAACAAAGGACTGTACTGGCCTACATTTTTGGGCAGGCGAAAGTCAAATTGAGTACGGTCTCAATTCTCGATTAAGAGCAACGGATTCATGACGGAATCCGGAGCAGAACAAAGAACGCCTCAATTAAGGACAAGACAACCGAGGTGTTATTGTTTTGATTCCGTTGCACATCTCGGCAACACGTGGACTCGGTTATCAGAAGAATAACTATTGCGACGGACGGAAGCAAAAACATGCATTCAAACTTATACACATACTGCATTACTTACCATACGACTCCGAAGGCTCCGTAGCCGATCGGCCGATCGGGCTGCACGTCCTGCGGAACGGCCGGTGGTTGATAGTAGGGTGCGGCCGCCGCCAGGATAGCTCCCTGTGGTCCGGCCGCACCAGCTGCTCCGCCCTGTACCAGCGACATCGAGACACTCATGGAAACCCCACGCGATTGCCTGGTCGGTCCACCGACTGCCGCCATTCACAATGCACACTAGCCACAGGAACACGAATCTAGTAGCTTGACATCAGCTGCGCCCGGGGACCTGGTTCAATGAGAGATCGCGCTCCGAGCAAACCCTCTTCCGACCAATGCCGTACAATTTCGCGACGCGTGAAATCACAATGACGAAAATAACAACACACTTTTTTTTTCCTTTTCAACAAACTTTGTCACTTGACTTTGAGACAAAAACAGCAACAATGATCTACCACCAACTACGGTGGGTGCACATTACACAATTGATACAATTAAATAATTACAAGCGAGTGCGGAGACGTCGGTGTGGCGGTAAGGGTCGAGCTCGCAGGGGGAGGGTGCCGGGGATCAGATCTCATGCACTTTAAATTGCTACTCGGTTAACTCATCACTGGCACGCACTAATGTGTAGTAGAGTATGGACTGTGCTTCCTTAATTCCACTACTTCTTTTTTTTCCTCTTCTTCTGCTTATTCGGGTTGCTTCCTCTTTATGACTTTGTGCAACAAAGGTTCACACCGTACTGCCGCCAATACTTTTCGTTCAAGTATTTCCTCCGGCAGCTTGCTTCTTGGTCGGTGATGGCTACAATACCGACGTATTGTAGATTGGATGAATTCAGATGGTGGTGGGTGGTGGTATCGTCAGGGTATTCCGGGAGTGCTTTCCTGGATGATGGATTCTGAAAAATGGAAAGTGAAAAATTTTGTGTTACAATTGTGAAATTTCAAAATTTCAAATGTTATAATAAAATTGTGTCTGATTATAACATTAAAACAAAAATAGGGCCCAACCAGTTGAGAATAATTGGCTCTTTACTACAGTGCAGTGTAACTGTCTAACTAGGCCATAAACACCGCAGTTGACTTACGAGGAACTGGGCTTCTGAAGTTGACCAAAGCTATGTCTGGAGTTGACCCATAAGACAGACTTCGCCTGTCTGGGCTTTAAAGTTGACTCATGGTTATTGCAATTTCCTTAGTTAAGAAACTGAAGTGCCCTAATCTCCAGTAGAATTCAATTGAATTGAATTGACTGTAGTCGGAGATCATTGCTGTTTGCGTACCTTTTGGTCGATGTTTTTCTTTTCTTAATTTTAGTGAATTTTAGCCATTTTAGTCCTTTTAGTGGATGAATAATGATAGAAAAAAAACAACAAAATGGCTTTGCTGACGCCAATACGAGTTTATACCCACAGTGATGGCCTTAAATAGATTGCCTTACAAACTACGACCTTAAAATACATGGAAAGTGGGGCAAGATGGCCACCGTAACTCGAATAAATTCTCACAATTTATATAAGAAAACAAATTCCTTCTATAATAATACAGAAGCTTCCAAGGGTTGACCTATAATCCTATGGTTGAAGAACAATCATACAAACTTGTTTAAATTCAATAAAAGTTCAAAAGAAAATTTAAGGGTAAGAATGGGCACGAAAAAAAGACTGTACTCAAAAAAAGTGATACACACAAAAATGGTCGCCAAAATTTCATTTTAAGTCGGGTTTTCTTCAAACTTTTAGGGAATAAACTACAACATTATGGTTAGGTTTCTATTTCATTGCTTTATTGGATCTCCGCTCCATAACCGAATGCCCGCACCTTGCCCTTGACACCATGTAATGTGACACCTTGTAAAATTAAAGTGCTGGAGGAAATATTCAAAGCAAGCTGTCTTAATAAAGCTGTCTTGTTGAGAGGAGCGTGGATTTTCTATTCGCGGCCGGTAACTTAGATGAAACAACAGCTGTTCTTAATAGAGCAAAAGTTTGTTTCTTTGAAAAACTCGAACAGCTGGTACAATTTGGATCTTTTGCGTCTTAAACAGAAAAGGGAGAAATGGTACAAAAAGTTTTGTAGATCAAATAATGGCAATCATTGGACTAGGTACACAATCGCGCGTAATAAGTATTCACAATCGATAAATAAAACTCGTTGTGATTATGTTCAAAGGATGATTGATCAGCATCAAAACAACAGCAGAGTTATGGAAAATTTTGCTTTATTAAAACCTAGTAATTGCAAACCGCGGTCCATTACTTTTAATGGCACATTAAAACAGTCAGCACAAGTAATTGCATCTAAGTTTAATGATTATTTTGTCGACCGTGTTTCATTGATTAATCAATCCATTGAATTGGTCGATGAACCTGACGAAATAAAACAGCCAGTTAATAGTAGTTGTAGATTTGAAGTTTTTCACCCAATTACATTAGATGAACTTATTACTGAGTTATTTGCTTTTCATTAGGAAAATCGGCTGGAGTAGATAGTGTTAATGCTAGAGTTATTCAAGATTGCTTTCATGTCATTGGCCAACCTCCGAGTCGAGTATTAGTACAAGACACTGAAGAAGTCTGCACATTGTAGACGAAATACGCGTATCTGTCAAAGATAAGCAAATAAAGTAGTGGAATTAAATGGAAAATACTAATCCTTCTCTCTCTCATTATTGCTGGAACGATTAAAGCCAAAGAGTTTCGTCCCATCAACATGTTGCACACATTAGAGAAAATCTTAGAACTTGTTGTTAAAGGCCAGCTGTTGGAGTATTTGAATAGCAACTCTTTGTTGATACCAGAACAATCAGGATATCGGGAAGGTCATTCTTGTGAAACTGCGTTGAGTTTGGTGTTAGCAAAGTGGAAAGACAACTTGGAGCGTAAAGATACGATTGTTGCTGTTTTTTTAAATCTGAAACGCGCTTTTGAAACAATTTCTAGACCCTTACTGTTAAGTACGATCAAGCGGTTTGGAATTACGAGTACTGCATATAAATGGTTTGAAAGCTATTTATCTGACAGAACTCAACGGACTGTTTTTAATGATTCTGTTTCCAGTCCCATGGGGAATATCCTTGGAGTGCCCCAGGGAAGTGTATTAGGGCCCCTGTTATTTATTATGTATATTAATGACTTGCGACGTGTTGTTCGGTTTTGCGACATTATTTTTTTGCAGATGATACTATGTTATTCATTGCAACTAAGGATTTAGAAGTTGCCGTCTCACACTTGAATAAAGATTTGCAGTATCTAAGTAGATGGTTGAAGTGTAAGCAGTTGAAATTGAATACAAGTAAAACTAAATTTATGGTAATTTCGCGGAATCGATTAAATGAGAACGTCTCTGTTGTAATTGATGATGAGACTATTGATCGCGTTCGGGAGATTAAATATCTTGGCGTGATTATTGATGACACACTTAAGTTCAACTCTCACATTGACAATGTCATCAAGAAAATTGCCAAGAAGTATGGAATTCTATGTCGATTGAAAAACGATTTAACTATTGCCAGTAAAATACAGCTATACAAATCAATCATCTCTCCTCATCTTGACTTTTGCTCTTCCATTTTATTTCTGGCCAATGCAACACAAATATCGAGATTACAGCGCATGCAGAATAAAACAATGCGTTTGATTTTGCGATGTAATAAATTCACTTCCTCGACTTTGATGCTAGACGCCTTGCAATGGTTGTCGGTGAAGCAAAGAATTGTATATTTGACTATGGTGTTCATTTTTAAAGTAGTTAACGGTTTGCTGTTTGACTAACGGTTTGATTATCATAGATATAATACTAGAAACGCGGATGAAATAAGAACACCACATTTCTTGACTTGTGCTTCACAGAATTCATTATTTTTTAAAGGAATAAATGTTTTCAATTCGATGCCTGGACAAATTAAACGCGCAACAACATTAGCAGAATTTAAGAGACATTGCATTTCACACGTTAAAACTGTCTTTTTAACGGTTATCCAGTGATTTTTTTTATGAATTGACAATTATGTATCTTGACGAAGTTATTTTTAACGGATTATTTTGTATGGATAGCTGTTATAACGACTTTTTAATAATTATTGTAGAACTGCAAAAACTATTTCTGTTCGCCACGAGGGTGATGATGGATTTTTAATATTTGATTTAATAGTAGATTAATTTAAAAAAAAGTAGTCTACAAAGGTTTGAGCCTCGCGCGCGTATTACGGATATAGAGGACTGAATTTAATATTTGAAAAATAAAATGCAATTTTGAAGCTTATTTGGAAGATACCTTGAGTTAGTAGTAAGTTTTTTGGCAAATGTTGGGGGTTCGTGAGCATTCCTGACATTGCTGAAAAGTATGATAGCACCAGATTGCGGGGTTGCTAGTGTAATAGGATGCTTTGTTTATTATTCATTAACTCTTGATCGCTTGTAATACTTATGAATATTTTAGGTGGACAAAAAGGCGAACTAAGACGTGGACGCCTAAGCTTTTTCACACTTATATCGCTGTGAAGCAACTGTAAACTCTAAAGGGAATTTATATCTGTAAATGTAATCAGATCGTTTTTTTTTTGGCTAACCTGGTTAAAATGTTTACATTTAATTATCTTACAGATAAATCGTCCAGCTCAAACCTTTGTAGGGGTAAGAGGTGGGACCATTAGCATCATTTACACCGTTTATAAGGTTTTGGGCAATGGTGGGGCCGACTTCTTTTGATACTTTTACCCACTGTTTCTTCAAAACCAGCTTGTTCTCCAACACCTTAGGTGTTTTACGAAGTCTTGCCTTCATGATGGCCCAAAACTTCTCCATCGTGAGACCGCAGGAAGGGTAGGAGGCGCTTCTGAAGGCACTCGTACCGGTAGATTTTCCCGTTGATGGTACCCTTCGTGATGCCGCACCCACAGATGGCTTGCCAAACCAAGAACTTTTTGGCGAATTCGTCCACCTTCTTCTTCCTTATTTGCTCAGAAACGGCCAAACCATGATGTGGAAACGTAAAATTCCTGCCCCTGCAACTGCTTTGTGACCGCCTTGATGTAAGTTTCGTCGTCTATCACGGCGCACCTCGGTTTCGTCAGCCACTCCCGGTACAGCTTCCTGGCGCGGGTTTTGACGACCGTGTTTTGTTTGTCGTTCCGGTTCGGTGACTTCCGGACCTTGTAGACGTGGATGCCGGAACGTTTCTTCGTTTTTTGGACAAACCAGATGGGAACATCCGCCTGCTTCGCCACATTGCGGATCGAAAAAAGACATGTAAAACAACGCGTAAAACGCAATTTCAATTTAAAACAAATCTTATAACCACTGAGCTACAGGGCTGTTACAAGATTTTTCCGCGACTTCAAATAGTAATCCGCGACAAAAAAAAAACTGTTTTCATTGCCTAAAAATACCATTTGTATACTACTACATGGCATATCAAGCTTATTGCTTATAGAATATTAGATTTTTGCCTACTCTCAACTTAGTGTTTTTTTTTAAGTGCTTTCACATTTTAATTGAGAGCTTTCTATGCCTGTACCATCCTATGCCCAGAGAAGTAGAGAAATTTTCGAACCCGACAAATTAATAGACCGGACGGGAATTGCATTCCGTCACATCCAGCATGGACTTGCTTTGTAGCTGCGCCTTTACCAACTAAGCTAAATGAGTATCGTTTGTAACATTTGAAAAAAATTAAAAATATAACATTGTATCATCTTTAGATATTTATGTTTAGTATAAATTCTGAGTAATTAGTGAACATAATAAAACATCCTTACATTATGAGATTCTATTGAATAATACCAGCCAAAATTTAATGAAATACTATTTAAAAAAAATATGCATTTTCATTTGAAATGCAAATTTTCTTGAAAGTTTAACTTTGCGTTTTTTGGCGTATTTTGCTGTCCTAAATTTTG